CTGAGCCCGTGGTTTGGCTCAGCCCAGCCGCTGGGCAGTGAGAATGTCTTCAGATGGCCCATATGCCACGTGACAGGCTGACACTGGCACCAGGCACAGCCGTCTGTCTTTACAAATAGTTTGAAAAATCCCAGGCCCCTGGTGTACTTCCCAGGGGTGGCTGGAGAAGTCCCAGCTCCCTCAGGCCTCTAGGCCCCTCCCTGGTGGTACCCCACTTCCTCCGCTCTGTCCCTGCGGGAGTCTGCTCCGAGTCCTGCCCCGACCCCTCCCTCCGCATGTCCAGGCCCCCCCTCCAGCAAGCAGCAGCCCTGACAGGCACTCGCTCCTTATCTCACCAGTTAACAAACAGCTCGTAGAAGTAATATTCCCCAGCTTTATCAACTCAATAAAAATGAACTCTGAATTAGGAAGTAAAGCCGACGCATGCGGCTCCTGCTAAGATTAAAAGCACTTCCTGTGTGGGAGTTCCTAGTCTAGCCCTTGCTCGGCAACCGGTCAGTTCTCACAGCAGCCCCGCCCCAGGGCCCAGCCGGGCCTGGTGAGAGCAACCAGCACAGCGGACAGGGCTGCTGGGTTCGACCCGGGCACCGCTCTATGGGTCAGGAGGTCAATTTAGTAGGTCACCGGCCAGCATGAGGAACAGAAAATAGAGAGTGTGCATGTGAACATGCTGTGTGCATGCGTATATGCATAAGTGTCGGCTGCTCTGAATATATTTGGAGAGAATGAGCCACCAGCCTTATAGTTAGAGGCCTGTGTGTGTGTTTCCTGCAGAATTCCTCTTGGGTACCCAGGTCTCCCAGATGACGGAGGCCTGTTATCACAGACATACTGTCCTGGCGAGTCCCTGCTGTGGGGCAAGGGGACACGGTCCAGGTGCAGCTCAGGGATCATCGAAGGGTTTTCATTCTGCTATCAAATGTGGGTCTGGCATGAATCGGCTTCTGCAAACACTCTTCATTCTCTCCCCCGCATTCTGAGACTCCCATCTGCACCATTTGCTTTGCTGGGTTCCCATCCCCTTTTGCTCAGAGAGGCTTCAGAAACCTAGAAACTTGTGAAGTCCGTTTACAGGGGCGGGCGAGTGCCGCTGTGTTACAGCCCCGCTGTGCACGGAGGGCGGCACCCAGTCTTCAGTGTCCCTCAAGCGGAAACGTTGAGAAGCAGATTGCAAGCTGATTTTTATTAGTGTTCACATGTGCACTCCTGTGTGAGTACATCTGTGTGTCACGACTTCATTGGGAAGAAATGGGCCTCCACCCTCCTTTCTAAAATCTTTATTGTTGAATAAAGTATTCTATATGTCCCTCTTTTTCCCCCATTGACCTCTTCCAGCCCGCCCCCGCCCCCACCCCAGGTACAACCCCTTCATTAATCATCCCTCCTTACTCATGTGCCAGGCACTATGCTAATAGTTCGCACATGTTCTGGAACCTTCAGCACGGCTCTGTATACCGGGGGCACACTGGTCCTGGCACTGGGTGGCGGGAGACGGGCCAGGCCCAGCTGCTGTCTGCACTGAAGGCTCAGTGACGGGCACATCCTGGGGAAGCCAGGCTCCAAGTGCCCTGGGGGGCGGCGCCACAGCCCGGCCTCTCCCTTCTGCACCGTCCCTTCTCCTCCCCTTCCCCTCGCGGCCCCGCGCCCTGCCTCCCTGCCTGCCTCTTCGCCCTTCTCGTCCTTGCCCTGCTTCTGTCCAGCCTGACTGTGCGGATGGTGTTCAGCTAAGGCGTTGGCTGACGCAAGGCTTTTGTTGGCGATCTCTAGCATGAGTTGAGAGTGACTTCGTGAATTTGAGTTGTAGTTGAAAAAGTCATTAAATTTCTCAGCCCTGTTGAGACAGAAGGGTAATAAAATGTGAGTGTGTACAGCGGGATTCAGTCCGTGTGGACACAGGGTGTGTACACAGGGCATTCTTGAGACTGAATGAAGGGACTTGAGCGTGGCAGCCAGGCGCTTCGGGCTCCAGGGCTGCTGTAGGTGTGCGTGGAGGTGATGTTCCATCGCCCCGAGGAAGGGAGAAACGGTGCCTCCTCACCCAGTAATTTACCAGAAAATAAAGAAGAGCAGATACGCAGAGCGGACAGCCTTCCTCAAGAGGCCTGCTTCTCAGTTCTCTGGCTGAGGCTCCCACAATGGACCTCGCCTTCCCCGTGGCCAACGCAGGCCCTGTGGTGTCTTCTGAGCTTCCTGCTGTGGAAACGGTGACGTGCCCTCAGCTCTTTGGTGAGCAGGGGAGGCTGGGCGCCCTGTAGCCTTCAGGGGTCAGGAGACTAGGTCGCTTATTAATCGTGAGATTACACTGTTTTTAACAGGTGTGGCAGTGCCTACTCCATACTGATGTGAAGAGCCTCTTTCTATGTCTTGTCCCTGGAACTTCTTTCACTTGTGAGGGGGGGTGGGGGCGGGATGCCCGCCCCCACCTGCCCATCGGGGGTCTGATTAATGCTGAGTTATTTCTGTATGTGTACCTACAGGGTGGAACAATGACAGGCTAAAACCTCCATTCTCAAAATCCGGGCTAAAAAGCGAATTTCCCCCAAGTTGTAGAACGAGAAAAAGCAGTCGTTGTCAAAGGCACAGTGTGATCAGGATTCGAATCAGAGTTCAAACATTTTGAAGCTGACAGGCCTTGGGTATCGTCCGTGACCCACTAACAGCTGGTGCGGTGTGAGAGGAGGCTCTGCCTGAGGGCCCAGAGCCGTGGCGAGCAGCGTCCTCGTCTCTAACTGTCCCTCCCACCGGTGGCCACGGGGAGCCTCCGTTCCCACAAACGAGAGGCTGCTGGTGCTTGGCAGGATGTGGGTTCTGGGTGTTCAGATGACCGTGAGTTGGGATAAGACAGGAGGGGTAGAGGCCCCCTTTGCAGTTTCTCCGGTGGGTGGCCTGGACGTAGTTGCGGGAGTGGGGTCTGGTGGTTCTAATGGCTTCCTCCGATGGATGTGTGAGGAGCTGACTTCTCTGTTCACGTGTTCTTTCCGCTCAGGACAGTTCCGGGCTGCCCTTGCCCATTTATGGTCTGTTAGTTTCTGTTGCTCACACAGGAAAGAGCGTTCTATTGAAGATAGAAAGATTGCTGCGGCCCATCTCGTCCAAGCAGCTTCCCTTTCGTGGTGATGGCCCCAGGCTGTTAGCTCCTTCCCATGCACCTCTGAAATTCCCCCCTGGATGTAAAAGCTCATTGGTATCAGTCCTTACAGCTTCAAAGGACCTGGCTGCCCACAGCCAAGGGCAGCGCCACCAGAGTCCCCGAATTAACACTGTCGGGGAGCACAGTGTAGCCCCGGGAAGGATTCTTTCCAAAAGATTTGTTTCTTTCCTTCATTCCTAATTGCGTGTAAATCTGTTCATAGTAGATTAAAGGAGAGATCTGGCCAGGTTGGTGGGTAATGATAAAATTTATGGGGACCCGGCCAAAACGTTGAAATGGCTTGTATTTTACTGTTGGCACCATTGGGTTCCTTCAAAGGCCAGTAAAGCAGAGTGATGGAAGGCAGCTTTTCCAGATGCACACAGTCCCTTCCATGTGTAGCCAACATGGATCACAATGTGGACCAACATGGTCGATGCTACCTGAGCATAACCTGTGATGCAGTAGAATTGGCCTGAAACGACTCTGAAAACCAAACCCAGGTGGGATTTCCATGTGAAGAACAGCCTCAGGGCTGAGAAATGCCAGGGCTCTGCCGCTGTCATCGAGGCAGCCGGGGCTGGGGTCTCACCTCCACGTCATCTGTAGGGGTGTGTGTGAGGGAGGGGGTGCTGGCAAAGTCTTTAGGAAAGTGTCTTTACCAAACAGCACCCACCTTGAGCTCATCTGTTTTCCGCATGTTGTACAAACCTGCAGTGCGAGCTACTTGCATCTCATTGGTCTTCCCCCCCCCCCCACCCACCCAC